TTCGTCTTGCTATTCCGCAGCACAAATTTTGTCTCCGACACGTTGATCGAGTGATGCTGTTGCTGTAGCGACCAGTTTTGGCAGAACGCGCTTTACTTTTGATGAATCCGAAGCCCTTGCGTAGCCTGCGTCCAGAAGTGCGCTGTCGATGCGTTCCACCTGCAAAAACGCACATTTAACCCAGGCTGGAACGCACCAAGCTCGCCGGTGTGACCATGCGTTTTTGCACTAAACTTGCAGATCGCAAATAGCAGGAATGACCCTTGTGCTGTAGCCAAACACTTGGACTTATACTGGCCGTGCCTTGACCTGTTCCAGCATGCAGGAAATAGGGCGTCGGTAGGGATAGAGGTGTTACATTATGGGATCATATGGACTCCCAAGTACATGATTACCAGTCTCCTGCATGAAGCCCGGTCGTTTTTTTCGGTAAATGCTCGCTTTTTAAAAAATGCAAATTTCCAGTTCACTAAAAAGTGGAAATGCTGCTACAGCGGTCGTTCATCAAAAAATCCAAGTGTAGAAATGAACTGAATGTTCATTTACACATTTGTCCATGTCACTCAGAGTGAAAATGAGGCAAGCAAATACGGGTTGAAAAATTTTTTAAAATGACATAATGGCTCACAGGGCATTTTACAGCTCCCACATCTGACTTCCATTATAATAACAAGGTGGCGATTTAAATTTTCTGGCAAAAAAGTGCAGTAGTGGTACTAGTTAATCGATCAATGTAAAACCGGGAACCGTAATCTTTTGTACAGGGAAGCCGTTTTGAGAAAACCTCAGTGATTTAATTCAGGACTTGAGTATTAATCAAATTTCAAAAAAAAAGTATGCAAAATGTGGGATAGATACCCTGTTATTGTCATCAGTTGCGAACAATTCGACGACTGGTTTCGAATCGTCGATACTATATCCAACAACGTAACACTCCAAATTCCGTTCACCAATTAAGCTACTGAATAAAGCGAATGCGTCTTCACTCCATTTCGTCGTCCCTTAAAATTTTCACTTCGAATAAAAAATTTTATCTAGGAATACTTTGTTCTACCTTGATCTTTGACCTATAAACTTTGATCTAAAAAAGGTAAACATAAATTGCAAACTTTCGCCATCACAATTTTTTTTCGTAAATTCATATTTTTGGATCCACGATGTGTTAATTACGATGTGCAGCACCTTTCACCAAGCTCCACACAGATCGAGAACACAACATGAAGGCAAAACATTGCATTGCTCGGAAAGAAGGAGGGCAAAAAACTCGGAAAAGCTGGACTAATCGACAGCGAGAACATTTAAATTCGTTATCCTTCAGATAAACTCCAATAAAATCTTAAAACCGCACAGAACTGTTCACGGACCCCTTCACCGGCAGCAACGACAGCGACAAAGTTAATGAGAGTAAATAAACAAAGCTCAATCCTCCCTTAATCGCCAAGTGTGCATAAACGGTCGCTTCGGGTAACTTTAGTATAAACACTTAATAGGAAAAAAGGTTCACTGGGAGATACGACAAAAATATGAAGGGCGAAAAAGCAGGCAAATATGGCGGAGATGAAAAACTGTTCTAGTAATACCATGTTGTGGAAAGACATGAAACGAAGATGAAGTTGAGCTGCAAAAAACTCAAAAAAGAAAAAACTAGGCGTACTCGCAAAATTATATCAGTGATGTTCCTCCTTCAATATGGAAAGCGACTGCCGCGTTGTGCATGAGAAAATACTTATCATTTCAGCTGAGCACGCTAGTAAGCAACGAGAAGAGAAATAACGAAGGCGCAGTGCTTTACGAAGCAAATAAGCCGTTCAGCGAAATCGGACCGGAAGAAAGGAACCAAAAGGACGAGAAAACCAATTTTGACGGCGGAAAACGACTAATATAAATGTTTCACTACGCAAACTGAGGTACATCCGTCACCTTGGATTTGAGGATTCCCACAGTAAGCTAAAAAGAAGAATCATGAAAACGGGCAGAAATTAAAACGCTGAAACATTTTCTTTGCAGACTTATTAGTCAGAAACTGAGGGACACTGTGCTAACTAACAAATGCCCACAAAAGCAGTTGCGACTCAAAAGTAATAGAGCCTAAAAAACCGCAGAAAGGGAGCTGCTGATATAAAATCTCTTTACAAAGGAATGAAAAAAGAGGCCGGATCATCAAGCGAGACAAAAAATGAGGAGCACGTGAAGAAAATTTCACTGCTTGCAGCATGTGGCTAAAAGTATGTTGCTGTGTGCTAATTAACAATTATTCAAAAAACAGTTTTTCGTTCTTTCAAAAACATGAAAAATACCATCGATGGGTTCCACGTGTGCCAAATAACACTCGACTGCTTGAAATGGTAATGACACGAAATCCGTCCTGCAAACATCAATAAAATTATGCATCGCATCGAATATGCCATTAAGAAAAAAGCAAAAAAAAAAAAAAAAATTCGAGGCAATATTCATAGGGGAAGAATCAGAAAACAAGACTGGAAATATAACAGCTTTGCCTTTAATCGAAAAAATCAATTAT